TCTCTGCTTGTTTTGCTGTTTCACCATGCCAAAATGCCATTATTTGATGTCAGAGTCCAGCACAGAGCAGCTGGAGAAAACAGATGCCGTTTTAAGGAATCCAGCAGGTTAAAAAAAAAAAATGAACCCGTCACCTCTTTCTACAGTGTAACAGATTATTGGGTTCGGGCTCTTCAAGTTACTATCTTCACATTCCTGTTATCTACCATTTTCCTATTGCGTTATTCAAAGAGGCACTTTTTCTTTCAAAAGGTTAGATGGTGGGAGCCAACAAAGCAACATTCCCCAACGCTTTCCAAATGCTTCAGAATTGCAACCCTCAGAATTCTGAGCTAACATGGATGAATGTTGGGGTTCTGACCTATCAGGTAATGACTGTGCTGGCTAGGAATTCTGGGAGTTGTAGTGCCTATGCAGGCAGAGAAGGCTAGAAAAAGTTGCTGTGCTGGGTCTCAACTGACCAGCTGAACACCAACCCTCTAGGAAACCATAATACAGTAGAACCTCGGGTGATGACCGTAATCCGTTCTGAGAATTCGGTCATCACCCAATTTGGTTGTCACCAGAAGTGCATATGCGTAAAAAAAGGCGTGGCATGGAAGGGCTAATTGCCACGAAAGGGCAAATCGCTGCGGTTGGTTGCCACCCAAGCACCAATTCATGACCAGAGGTAAAAACTTTTGGTCACCCGATTTGTTCGCAAACGGAAGTGTTCGCGACCAGAGGTTCTACTGTACTTCTATAATAGACCACATCTACAACAGACGTTGTCCATTACCAGTATTGACAATTCAAAGAACTTTGCAGCAGATGATAAAAAACACCCCTTCTCTGTTCCAAACTCTGAAGCAGCAGGCATGACTCAATGGAAAACTTACACAGGAGCAGAAGGACACCAAACAAGGAGATGCAGGAGTAGAGATAGGGAAGGTAGTATTCCCAGAGATCTATGGGAGAAAAAGAATACAATCGGGTTACATCCCAGGAGAAAATAAATATGGACCTCTAGGTCTAGGAAATATCACGGATGTTGCTGAACTTCAAAACCCAACAGTCCCCAATCATCAGAGCCAAGAACAAGAGGAAGCTGGGAACTGAATTTAGACATATCTGAAGGCTCCTAGATTGCCCGTGACTGAGCTGAAGATCCTACTACGTACAAAATAGAGACTTCTCAGAAAGCAGGAATTAAAATATTGAACAAGAGCCATCTGATCACCTTTACCCCAAGTTATTACTTCTACGATCTACAGTATATCATGGATTTTATTCAGGAGCTGAAGGAACCATATAGCAATAGCACTTAGACGGAGATACCGCTTCATAGTGCTTTACAGCCCTCTCTAAGCGGTTTTAATAGAGTCAGCACATTGCCCCCAACAATCGGGGTCCTAATTTTACTGACCTTGGAAGGATGGAAGGCAGAGTCAACCTTGAGCCTGGTGAGATTCGAACTGATGGAGTGAGCAGCCTGTGATACTGCATTTTAACCACTGCACTACCATGGCTCTGGTCATTCCCTCCTCCTCATTTCCCCCCACAACAATCCTGTGAGGTAGAATAAGCTGAGAGAGAATGACAGACCCAAAGTATCACCCACTGAGCTTTTGTGGCTGAGGGGGAACTAGGATCTTGGCTCTCCCTTGTTCTAATAAAACTCCTTAACCTCTACACTACACCGGTTCTTGCTCTCAAGCATTTTTGAATTGAGCAAAGAAAGAAGAAGGTCCTTTTGTCACTCCAGAAATTATTTCCAATGCACCACAAATCATACAAAGAGTTGTTCTCATCTCAAACATCACTGCTAGGCAGAACTAGTTCTTCTGAATCTGCAGCTGACCAACCATTCAGTTGTGTGTTTCATTCCCTGCTTGGTTTTCATGAGGCATGACCAAGGGAAGCTAGACTATTAGAAGTTTGTTTATTCAGTGGAGAATTTTGCCTACATGAAGAACCTTGGGTTGGAAGCACCCAGTTAATTTATTTGTTTGTTTTATTTGACTTGTATCCTGCCTCCATTGTTTATAAATAACCCAACCCAGCAAACATACCTCATACTCCTTCCTATTTTCCCCACAACAGCAGCCCTGTGAGGTGGGTTGGGCTGAGAGAGAGAGAGTGTGACTGATCCAAAGCTACCCAGCCAATTTTTGATGCTTAAGACAGGGCTAAAACTCACCGTATCCTGGTTCCTAGGCTTAACTGTTAGACCAAACTGGCCTAACAAACTAATCAAACAAACAAAAATTGGACAAACAGACCGAACAGTTCCTTCACAACTCAACTCCACTGATGAGAGGATGAGGGATAAGAAGAAGATTATTTATGCTTGCTGGCTAAAGTTTGGGCAACTTGGAAACCAGTGCTGCGCCTGGCAATGTAGATTCAAAGGTATCAGTCTTCAAGGGCCCTCCCTGCTACCCGAGGCTCAAATCTCCCCTTGCAGTGGAAGGTGTAACCCTGTAGGGGGCGAAAAGCCTCCCCTACCATAACTCACCATAGAGACTTTCCCTGCTCGCCCCATCCTGGTCCAAAATAGCAGAGGCGACCCAGACCATTCCCAGCACCAACAGGGTTAGCAACAGCAGGACTACAAAGGTCTCATACACCCGAGCCATGATCCCCTGGACAGGAGGAGAAAAGTGGGGACAGTTATTTCTAGAACTGGGAATAGGAGGAGATGTCTTCAAAAGGCAGCTGGGCAGGTGGAAACCACTTTTGGACTTTTTTTTTGCTTGAAACAGAAATCAAGTGAAATTTTAATTTGACGATTCAAAATACCGTACACTATATAGAAATACTGTACACTATTAAATTTTAGAGCAAAAGGTTATTTTTTTGTATTTGTAACTGCACTGAAGAAAGTGGGAAGTTACTTCTATTCTATTATTTTTCTTTTTTTTTTTTATTCTTTGCACTTTTCATGCCCTACTTTTTTTAAAGTGGTTTTTTTAAATTTTATTTTGTGTAGGAATTCAAGTGTGTGCATATGTGTGTGTGAGTGTGAGTGTCTAAATAAAATAAAATAAAATAAAAAGAGACAGCTAGTACCTTCTTTGATCCGGCAAAGCCTTCTGACTCCGTGAAGAAGTAGGCAAAGGGCATGAGGAAGACAAGGGAGAGGTTGGAGAAGAGGAAGACAAGATTCCAGAGTCCTAGGAACAAAAAAAAGGAAAGAGATTCCCTTATGCCTCTGCTCCAGCTCCTCAAAGGTATATATCCCTGCTCCCTCTCCTGATGTTGGACTCCTGCTGGCCTCCTTGATTTGGGCCACTCCTGGAATAATTCACAAGGGCCCAACTCTAGTGGGGAACACCCATTTCCTCTCCAAGCTGGATCCTAGAGCCCTCTCAAAGCTGAAAATCCCACCTGCGGCTTTGCTCCGCATTTGGAAGGCTGCCCACTGGGTGGTCGAATGCATCAAGAAAGACACCTATTCTATCTTGGATGAGCTGCCCCATCACAAGTTCGGGAAACTCTTTTATTAAAAAACACACAGTGATACGTCACAAGCAGTGAATTCTATCCAATCATTAAGTTACATGAGAAGGAATATTAGTGCATACATAGTAACATCCAATTACAGTGCATGGCAGTGTGAAAGGTGCAAGGTAACAAATCAGCGCCTGCATTACAGTTATCCGCCCATGATGACGTGTTTGTTGATTGGTGATCTCTGTTCCTGGTACGCTTTCAGCCTACGTGAGGCCTAGAGGCCTTGAGGCCTGGTATGTACCGAAACTATAGAAACTAATTTATTACTGCACCCACCCACCTTTGCAGAAAGGATGCACTGACACAAATGCTTGGTGCAGAGTTTATAAACTGATGTTCTCTCCCTAAGCCGCCCCTGCTCTGAAGTGGCTTCTTTCAGACTGGGTCAATTCCAGACAATGAGAGGATTCACCCTGCAGGGTCTTGCTTCTACAGCCCAAATGTTGGTGATTGTGGGATTTTTCAAAGGAGAGAAGCTAGGATTTGGGAGACACAGAGAACTCTGGAGAAGAAAAGCAGATTTTGGTGCTAATTTTGCTTTCTTTTTCTTTTTTCTTTTAAAGAGGGAAAGACTCCCTTAAATTGAAACTGCCTTCTCTGGCAGTTTTACACAAGAGAGTTCCCATCCTTATGTCCCCAAATGCTTTTCTGATGTACCAGTCCATCTTTACCATCCTTGGTCTCCCATTCAGGCGCTTTCTGATCAACCAAAGTCACCTCAGTGCTATCATGTGCTGAGACTTGGTTTTACAACTCGCCTGAGAGTTCTAATCCCTCTTACTATTCACGTTTTCTCCATTACGAAAGTACACAGAAAGGGGAGGGGCACGTTCCTTCCTTCTCCCCACAGAGACAGATACCCCTCCTCCGTGCCCACAGAGGAAGCATTGCAAGGAGCTCACCATGGATGAGGGAGCCGTTCAACCACTGGATGTAGTAATTTTGAGGGAAGGAAAGCAGGACTTCATTGCCAATGATGGAGAAGGGCAGCAGAAGTACTGCCCCCAGGGACACAGCCAGAGTGAAGGTGCACAGCCACAGCCTGAGCAAAAGGGCACAAAAGAAAGGGTAAGGTGCTTGTCCACAACCATCTGACACTGCTTGCTCCATAGTGAAGCCAGAGCCTACACCTCATATTTATCATTTTCTTCCCAAAATAGAAAAGACATTCTCTCTTGGTCCTCCATGTTCAAAGGACGAGAAGGATAAGACACTTGAGCATGAAAAGAGAGAGAAGCTGGGTTCACCTCACACAGGAAGCTAAAAGTTTGACAAGAGTCTCTGTCTCTCTCTGTCTGTGTGTGTGTGTGTCTGTCTCTCTGTGTCTGTCTGCCTGACTGCCTGTCTGTCTCTCTCCTCTCTCTCTCTCTCTCACACACACACACATTTGTTGGATCAGTTCTTTTCACAAGAGTCTTATCAAAATCTAGAGCAGTTCCAATTAAGGAAAGCCTGAAGTCATAAATAAGGCTTTCAAATTTTAATTTATCCCAAGTCCTTTCAGGCTTGGTAGGCAGCTAAAATCTAACTTTCTGGATTAGATGCAACCTTTAACGGGGTGGTATGATAATGTGGTATCCTTAACATGCCACATGAATGCCTTATGTATGTGGATCTGAATAAACATGCATGCTTTACTTTTATATAAACATATGCAAAAGCATGCCTTTTCTAATTTATTTATTAAATTTATATGCTGCCCATCTTACTATCAAACAACTGAAAAATAATGTCTGAAGAGGACAAGAATTCTTGAAAGCCTGAAGGGCTATCCAGGGCTGCCTATAATACATTCTCTACCATTAATGCCTGGATCCAAGAGAAATACAAAATTCCCCCTCATATTTGTTTACCTGGGCCATATTCCGAAAATACCTTTGAATGGTGTCCCTAATCACACAAAAAGTGGGATAGGGAAATCCAAATTGGATGCATTTTTTATTGGACATTTCAATTTTTAAAAAAATAATTCATAAAATGTTAAAAAGGAAAACACAGAAGTGGGAAGAAGACAGGGGAAGAGGAAGTTATGAATATCTTAAGAGGAAAAAGGAGGGAACTTACGCAATCCGATTGACCGCAGCATCTTCATCAACTAAGAATAGAAAAAAAATTGTATTATTACTGTTATTAAACTAAGTGCCCAAAGCTACTTTTCTGTCAAAGAACCCAAAATAATATATATGGTTTGCTTTGCCAGTCTAGTGAGGTAGATTAGTCATCATTCTAAACTTCTATTACCGCCAGCTACCATGGGGGAGTGGAGATCTGAATTTGTGTCATCCAATGACAAACTTTTAATTGCCAAATACATGGGATATTCCTAACAGGAAGTGTAATGATGGCATTTAGTCTTTACCATATTCCATGTTGGTGACAGGACATTTTATATTAGACCTACTTGAATCCCAGTGAAACAAAGGCAACTTTTAAACCCACCTCAGTTCACTTTTGTACAAAGTGTCCCCCTAACTCATTGCAAAACCATGACTTTATGCAAGGGCAAAATGTAATACACAGCATAAATACAGTGAAAACACAGAAGAAGGCTAGGAGAGGAATTCTCCGGGATTAGCAGAAATTACTTCTTGTCCAGCATTATCAATTATAAAATATGCAGCTGAAGACAACAACTTGTCCAATCAATCTGAACAGGCTGGTTGACCAGGGATGACAGAATCTACTGTTCAATTCAGTTAGGGAAAAACCCCTTATACTAGAGAAGTTTCTGGTACTCTGTCTTCACTATCACAAAGAGATGGCATAGTTTTTCCTTCTCCTCCCCCTCCTCTGCAGATAAATTCAACCCTCCTCAGAGAAGGTGGTTTCCTTGAAATTCAGAATACAAAGTAAAATATCCAGGAGTCGTGTTCTGTATACAGCTCCCTAAGGCAAAGCTGGCTGGGGAATTCTGGGAGTCGAAGTCTGCCAGGCTTAAAGTTGCCAAGGTTGGAGACCCCTGCCCTAGGGAACTGCGGTGAACAACGCCTCTCTCCAGCCACAGGACAACAGACTGGGTGGTTAGAACTGCACATATAAAAAAATTTCCTTATGAATTTGATGCCCAATCGTGTAGGCTTCAGTAGCACAAGGAAAGTTTTGTGGGGATCCCTATGCTGTAGTTATCTATCTAGGAAAAATGTTTTGTTACGGTGTAGGAGCAAAACCAGACTCTCTCTGCAAATTGGTCTTAAAAGTCCCACTGTTTCCTCATATCCCTTATGCCCAATCAGCATCAAACTACAAGCCCAACAATAGGAAAATTGCTAAGCTGGAAAAAAGAGCTATATTCCCTAAGCCAACTGCTGTCAAGGCAACTAAACTAGCAGCAGCATAAACAAACTTTAATTTAAAAGACAAAAAGCCCTTCTACAGGGACTGGGTCCAGAGACCTCAGCGCTGGTACAAAGCAGGAGAACTCTGGGGACGAAATCTTTCCATTTGGGGCAGAAAGGGTGTATTGTCTCTGGAAGCTTCATTTGCAGGCATTCTGCATAGAAGTTACTCAAGAGTTGAAGCCTGAGGGAGCTAACCAGAGGGAGCCCACAGAGTCCACTCCTCCATTGTTTTGTGAACAATTTATAGACTCCAAGTGGTTGCAAAGGGACATTTGCCAATCCTGCTAAAATCAACTGGCTTAGTTGCAAGTTTGACATAGATGCTCTGAGGCTCATACAAGGCAGTTGACAAAAGTTATGGAAGATCATCCAGTTTCACACTGGCTGATAGAGATGTTAATGATCAAACAAATAAGTTCTTCTCTGCTGGAAGGGAAGAATCTTAATTTATTAACAGGACTGTTACAGAAGCATCCAAGCCTTTATGACAGTACAACCTTCCCTCAATCTGAGGCCCTCCTGGATCTATCAAAATTACAGCTATGATTATGCTGACCTGGGACTGGTTTTCCTCCTGGGAATTGTAGAAGTAATAATCCAGCCAATGATTTTCTGGCATTCATCTAGTTGAGAGAGGTTTGCCTGGAAAGGCCAAACCTTTGCCAATGCAAATGTTGTTGCAGCAAAGATGTTCACTTTGAACACATGCATACCAGAAGGCTGGATTCCCACAGTGCACTAAGGCATGAAGCAATTTGCCTTATTTTGACATAATGTAATACTACATGTGAACTCAGCCACTGTAGTGTTTCAACCTTGGTGAGTTTAAATTGCAGATTGTTCAGCAAAACCAGGATTAAACAAGAGCATTTAGTGCAATGTGAACTCCGCTGATTTGTGATAATTGAGCAGGACACATATTTTGGAAATCTTAAAATCAAGGGAAACTGCTAGCTTCATTCTCCCCTAAACTCTAAAAGGTCATGTCCTGTATGGCTTCCACAGCTTCAGTGGTGGTGTAGTATAGTGGTTCAGGGCTGGGAAGGACAAACGGGAGACTCAGGTTCCAGGCTATCTTCAAATCCCTGAGTGATTTTGGGCCAATCCCTCTTTCTCAACCCAGCCCACATCTTGGGTTGTTGCTCCTGGGAAAAATGAGAAAAACTGAAGAAAAGGCACCTAACAAAATTGGAATCTAACAAATAAATAAATAAATCTGCCTTCTGAAACCATGTATCTAGAACAGCTTTCCCAAACCTAGACACCCCCTGGACAGATGATTTTCGGCTCCCAGTAGATCTGGCCTTTGTTGAGAATTCTTGGCACTGAAATCCACCCACTCAGGTAGGGGAGAAATGACCTTGATTTGCCTGCCTTCCCGGTTACCTGTAGTGAAGTCTGTGTGCCTTTTGAAATAGGTTAAGATGAAGTAGCACAGGATGTAGAGGCTGCCAAAAAGAAGGGTGCAGATCTGTGGGAGGAGAAGGAAAAGCTGGTTATGAGATGCTGGTCATGAGTCATCCTTATCTCTTCCCAGTGACTGGCATTCTTGAGGATATGCAACCCACTTCATATCCAGGGCAAATAGAACATCAATTGGGATACTGTAGGATCATCATCTTCTCTATCCTAGTTGCTTAGCAAAACCGTTCTATTCCCATCACTGTATTCAATTTTTCTCTCATTTTCCTTTATCAACATTTCTTTATGAAATTACTTCAAAATACAAGCAGCCAGCAGGTTGAGAAAAACTGGCGTTTTCAACACTTTCCTGAAACGGTTTCTCTGTTGCAATTATTCTCTCTTGTCACCCACGTTGATGCTCTAGTTATCTTTCCCTCAATCATAAGTGTGGTTTCCCAGGTTTTCCAGTTTGGGTGCTCTTCAAACCTATCCCATTATTGCTGCCATCTCTACCACCATCTTTGCTTTATGTATCTTTGAATCCAGTCTGGATCTGGTATGTAAGCACGTAGGCTGCATTGGCAGGAAAAGGCTGACAATTTCCTGCTTTAATATTTCCTTGTTTTGTTTTGCTCTCTCCAGCTTTTAAATCATCGCCCCTTCCCAGGTATTGTTTAAAAGTATGTTAGGGAACCCAGATGAAATTAGAGGAAAGAAATGTGACTTCTAAAGGAGATTTTGAAGTCACCACATCCCCCTCAAGTCAAGTTTACAACTGAAAAAAGTGAACAGAAAAGTGAAGTGGGAAGAAGAGTGGATCAACAAGTTTCATCCTTTCTTCTAGTCTGACTGCTCTATTTCTGATTTTTTTTTATATCTTAGCTATTTCCATTGCCAGCTCATTCTCAATATTCAGAATATTATAAGCAAGGGAAGGACATTCTTCCAGTTGAAGCCACATTGCCTCCTCTAGTAACTTCACATAAAATGGAAAACATACCCTCTCAAATACGTGCATTTCTGAGAACAGGATTTAGAAGTTAAAACAACAAAACAAAGCATGAAAAGAAGGTCCCATTAGTAAAGCTGTGTAAACAAAACGAGCCTACATCTGAAAATTGAATGGTCAGAGCTCTCCAGGCAAATAAACATTGCAAAATAATCCTCCAGCTATTTTTTTGTGGAATGAGCATTAAATTGCTCTCCAGCCCCAACATGTAGTAGTTATATAAAAAGAAAATCCGGATGTTTCATCTGCCACATGATAGGCTTACTGGGCTGCCAAGGACATTCAGGTGATGCTCCTGAAAACATACCAGGTTTAATTTAAAGGTTCATCTTTTTGCATTCTTAGGTTCCAAAATTTTGTTCTTCAAGAAGGAAAGCAACCTTCTGTGAGATGATTAAATGTTGCAGGCTCCTAACCCACCTTACACTCTAGAGTATAAACCTATTTTAAAATGTGACAAAAGTTGCACATTATCCTTTTTCAATGTGGTGCTATCCAGATAGGATGGATTTCCAAAGTCCCTCCGCCGTACTAGCCAACAGAGCTGAATTCTCACAGAATCTATTCCAGAATATTTGCCCATCCCTGATTAACCATATCAAAGAACTGAAGTTATAAAAAAGAGACTGCTACCAAAAAGTAACCAATCCCCTTCAGGGAATTTCAACAGTAAGAAAGATGACCACAAATATGTAGCATCTCAGTTTTACATCAGAAACAAGGTTCCAGTCTTTAGAAATACAGAAGAATACTGAAAATGATGAAGGTTGTAAAGAAGGCCAAACTAATTTCCTTGGTTAGGGAAAAGGCAATAATCTAAGTTTATTGTTCACCCTTATAGACTTTTTGTATGAAACTGAAAAAAATAAAAAGCTTTGAGTAAGAGGTAATTTTGTAATTGTAGTTATATTTATAAGAGAATATCTGTAGCTCATGGGTTGAACTGTGAGATCCTTAGTACTCCCTGAGCTTGATTTTTTTTGGGCAGACAGCTCACTATCCAAACTAGGTAACATCATCAGTGTAAACACATGATAATGAGGATGATGATACTGTTAGTTTGAGTAATGAAATGTTTGCAAAAAAATAATCAAGCTGAGACACTGCCAAATACTCCATTGTAAGTTATGTTTGCTGCAAAAAAAAAAATTGAAAGCTGCTTCTATTTTTCATTTCATTTTCCCCCCTTTCTTTACTTTATGTTAGTTCTTGTTTTACCTTCTTTTCAAAATTCTTAATATTTTTTTTTTTTTTACTGAAACCACAGTGAAAGCAGGGGAAGAACAAAGGCTGGGAGAAAGCAAGGAAGAGGCAGGCAAGCCGTTTCTTTTTAAAGCAGGAAGCCACGACTTCAATTTCATATCAATCCCATTCCCCTTGCCCTGTTCGGCCTGAAAAGAGGAACAAACAGCTTGTGGTGTTACAGCCTCTTCTCACCCAAAAGGGAAGCAGGAGAGCAAAACAAAATTGTTCCAAGCCAGCTGGCATCCTGTAGTATGATGTGCTTTGGCGTTGCCGCCTGAGAGATGACCTAGCAGAGTGTTATGCAGCCAGGCAGGAAGAAGTGGTTTTTTTTCCACCTCCTCAACGATGCCCCAAAATTAACCTTCAAACAGAAAAGGAGCATCCTGAGTTCCAAACCAAGTGACCCGGGTAGCTTTTTATTTCATGTCTTCATTACCAGATTAAAGTACCCCGAGCCAAAGAGAGCAGGCAGCCTTTCTTAAAAGGTTTCCCTTAATGGGCTGCTCTAATGTAAACACAGATGGAGCTTTATTAAGAGAGGAAGCTGAAAGCTGCATAGGCCAGTCATCAAGAAACCTGGAGGGTTCAAACCCCTGGAAGAGACAGACTCCAAAAGCTGGAGACCGTGCCAGGTATTTCTAACTAATTACTGCACTAATCCTTGTAATCTGCATTATGATCCCTAAATCATAGGCTGGCTCTCACACTATGCCATCCCCACGGCTTGCTTAATCACAATTTATGAAGTCATCTTCAATGGGAGCATGAAACTATTGCGCCTTTCAGAATTTCTTCCACTGGCTCTGGATCCGATATATCTCACAGGGTACAGGGAGGACCTCAACTTACAACTGTTCATTTTAGTGACCGTTTGAAGTTACACTGGCACTGGAAAAAGTGACTTATGGTGGCTTTTCACACTTACGACCGTAGTCATGTGAGCAAAATTCAGATGCTTGGCAAGTGACACATATTTATGGTGACTGCAAGGCCCCAAGGTCATGTGATCACCTTTTACGGCCTTCTGACAAGCAAGGTCAATCGGGAAGCCCGATTCATTTAACAACCTCAATAACTCCGGTGATTCACTTAACAACTGTGGCAAGAAAGGTCGTAAAATGCAGCAAAACTCATTTAATAACCATTTGGCTTAGCAACAGAAATTTTGGGCTCAATTGTGGTCATAAGTCAAGTCTAATCACTCACTTTAAGAGAACTTAGTTACTTCTGACTCTGCTCCAGTATATTGATGGTGATTTTTTTTTTAAATGAATCACCCTGGATCTGTGATGTTCTCACTGATGGGAGTGCTTGTTTCACTCCATTTTGTGGGTCCTGGGTTCAAACCAGGGGTGGGATTCTACCAGTTCGCACCTATTCGCTAGAACCGGTTGTTAACATTCTAAGCAGTTCGGAGAACCGGTTGTTAGAAGAAATTACTGGCCTAATCCTGTAAGGAAGGCAGAAAGTTGCTTACAGAAGTAAGGTGTTGCTTACAGAAACTGCCTCTCCGTTAACCCTTATTACATTCTTGGCAGGACTAGACTTCCTGTCTCAGGAACTTCTCTAGAGTTTTTTCCCCCTCTTTGCTGGTACCTTGCTTGTGTGGAGTGACCATTCAAAGTCACAATGGCACTGAAAAAAGTGACTTATGACCATTTTTCACACTTACGACTGTTGCAGCATCCCCAAAGTCATAAGAGGCCGGGAAGGAGATGCGTGCCTCGATGTGAGTGATATTGAGTTGGCCAAGCCCAGCCAATAACATGACCACCAAGCCATGCTGTGCGTGCGCTGCATTTGCATGAGCAGCGGTTGCACATGACTGCCACTTGCGCGCATGGACCTACCGTATTTATCGGCGTATAACACGCACTTTTTTCCCCCTGAAAATAGGGGGCAAATGATGTATGCGTGTTATACGCCGATATAATGTTAAGAAGCCTTCGGTGAATGCTGCTGGGATCGGGGATCAAGGACACAAATGAAAGAAGGGGAGGGAGGAAGCAACCGAAGCCTGTCCTTCTCTCTGGGTCAGCTCTGTCAGTCGCTCTCTCGCTCCTCCACCAGCACAGGAAGAAACTGCTTCAAAGAAGCGGGGGGGGGGGCTTTTCCTGTCGCCGCAGCTTCCCTGAAGCGCCCGTTTCTCCCCCACCCCCACCCCGCCCGCCCGCCCGCCCGCAGTGCTCCGTTCTGCCTGCCTGCCTTCGTTAATGGTTGAATCGGAACAGCTTCAGCTGAGTAAAAGAGGCGAATAGTTATTATTCTCAGCCGAAGCTGCTCCCAAACAACCAGAAACTAAGGCAGGCAGGCAGGCAGGCAGAATGGGACACTGTGGATTGAAGCGCGCGCGGGGGGTGGGAGTGGGGGTGAAACGGGCGCTTTCCTGAAATTTCCCTCTTAAAATGAAGATGCGTGTTATACGCCTGTGCGTGTTATACGCCGATAAATACGGTATATGCGCACGGGCTTGCTAGCCACTCATGTGGAAACATCCCCTCCCCCCACCCCCACCAGTACACCAAGCCTGAAAGGTTGAAGAATTCTGTATTAAATTATGGAGGAGGTGCTAGACTTTTATTTTATTTCATTTTATATGTACCACAAGATTTTTAAAAATTGTTCAACTGGGTTATCTCAGAAGTATACATCTCTCCCGGCAAGCTGGAAAGCAACATTTTTGGCTCACGGTCCTCTTTGTGTTCCACAGACAATAGAAAGGAAAACAACCGTGAGCCACGATCAAACCAGTTAATTTTACATCCCTGATGTAAAATGCCTTTGAGTTACAAAAAATTCTGAGAGCTTATTTA